AAGGTGGGTTTTTGTGTTTATGTGAGGAGTGGTAGTTGGACACGTGAGCGACTAAAGAAGAACCAGGTGGAAGAAGCCCAGTCGCGGAAGAGTTGTTTGTGGGCCACTAATGAACAGTAGAGAGAACCAAGGCTTTTATATACCAATATGGCATTAGGTGTTACGTCTCTTGTTGTTCCCACCAATTATAAGGAAGCACAAGGGGATCCAGTGTGGGAAGAGGCGATGGGGAGTGAGTTTGATGCTCATCATGCAAATAATACTTGGACAGTTGTTGATCGACCAGCTCCTGACACTCCAACGATCGGTAGTCGCTGGGTTTACACGATTAAGATGCTTCCTGATGGCTCGATTGAAAGACATAAAGCGCGTGTTGTAGCTCTGGGCTATACACAGGAGCACGGGGTGGACTATCACGAGATTTTTGCTCCTGTGGCACGTATGTCGACAGTGAGGACTCTTCTAGCGGTTGCCTCTATGAAGAATTGGCCCCTAGCTCAGCTTGATGTGAAGAATGCCTTTCTTCATGGAGATCTGGATGAAGAAGCCACCCGGGTACAATGTTGGCACTCCTGGGCAGGTATGCAGACTAAACCGATCTTTATATGGTTTGAAACAGGCACCTCGTGTCTGGTTTGAAACTTTTCAGTCTACTCTTGTGGGGTTGGGGTGCAGTCAAAGCTTGAATGATCCGTCTTTGTTCATTAAAACAACGGCAAAGGGCATTATTTTACTTCTTCTATATGTGGATGATATGATCATCACTGGGTCTGATGTGGATGGAATTCGTGCCTTGAAAGAAGGATTGCAGAAAGTGTTCAGAATCAAAGATTTAGGGGCTTGTATGCTTGGTGGATTTGGTGATGGATTTGGTGAAGGATTTGGATCCATCATGGACTTTGTCCAAAATCCATTGTTTGCTTCATGCATTTAGGGGAAACAAATCCGTGGGTCCCACGAACTTTAAGAGACCAAATCCGTGGACCCCACGGATTTGAAAGTTCCACCTATTTAGGTGGGAATTGATCATGGACTTTGAAGTCCATCATTTTTTACCAACATACCCTTCATATTTGTTTTCTCTTCTTATATCATTAAGGGCAATAAAGGTAAATTACACTTCATACATACAAATTTAATAAACAAAATCCATCATGAAATCCATCAAACAAACAATGGTGTTTATCAAATCCATAATGAACCTAAAACCCTCATTTATCCATGGTTTTTCAAAACCCAAGTTATATCAAAACCTTCATTTTTCAAATCCACGACGCAAACGAGCCCTAGGAGAATTGTCATACTTCCTTGGATTAGAGGTATCTCGGGCTAAGGAGGGCATACTGCTTAGTCAACGGAAGTACATTATAGATCTGTTGAGTGATCATAATATGGAAGACTGCAAACCAGTGAATACCCCGATGGAGTTTAATCTTAAACTGAGTAAGGATTCCGGGGCTAAAGTGAAGGATGGGTCACAGTATCGTAGCATCGTTGGAAGTCTGATCTATTTATCTGCGACTCGACCAGATATATCTTATGCAGTTCAACTGGTTGGTCAGTTTATGGGAGATCCTCGGGTTGATCATCTAGCAGCAGTATATCGTATACTCAGGTACCTGCAGGGAACAAAGGATTTGGGCATACTTTTTCCTGCATCAGGATCGACAGTCTTGCAGGCTTACTCTGACTCAGATTATGCAGGATGTGTTGATACCAGACGATCCACTACAGGCTGGTGTGTTCAGTTTGGGAATTCATTTATTTCCTGGAGGTGCAAGAAGCAGGATAAAGTCTCCAAGTCATCAACCGAAGCTGAATACAGGGCAATGTCAGATGTTGCTTCTGAGTTAACATGGTTGCGACGTCTGCTTACTGATATGGGAGTGATGTGCACCAGTCCCATGGATTTGTATGTTGATAATACCAGCGCAATTCGGATAGCAGAGAACCCAGTTCTCCATGATCGTACGAAGCACATAGAGATCCATGTTCATTATGTTCGAGATGAAGTTCGTGATGGGACGATTGCTTTACACTACATACGGACTGAAGACCAGGTAGCAGACTTGCTTACAAAGACTTTCTCAACAGGGCGACATCGTTTTCTATCTGGCAAATTGATGCTTGTAGACCGACATCAATTTGGGGAGGCTGTTGAATGCTATGCAGTCTGGGCTCTCTACATTGCTTGTACCGTGTACGTAGTAGTAGTGGGCCAATGCTTATGTAGTATGTATTTGTGGCCCATGCAAGCCCACGTAGGGAAGTTGAATACGTGTAGCTAGGGTTCGGCTGCAGTAGAGTGTATTGAGTAGTGCCGCCGCTGATCATGTACATTCAACAAATCATTAGTGAGATCAGTAGCTGAAGAGTGTTTGAGCTCTTCCGTGGATTAGTCCTGGAATTCCAGGAATACCACGTAAATCCGTGTCCGATTTCCATTTCCGATCATATTTCTGTTTAGATAAGTTATCAACAATACTTACAAAACAGTTGATTAGAGATAATTTAGTCGATTGATTAATTTACTCTCCTCTCTATTTTCTCAAACACAACAGCTAATGTCAGTGTTCAGGGTTTGTTGATAAAATTTCACTTGATTTCTCAATTCCTTTTAACTTAAACCAAAAGCAAAAGCAAGCGCGTGAAAGGTTGTCTTTTACTTATGCCTTCAACCTTTCACGCCTTGGTTGAGTTTATCCTGGAGTTACCAAATTCCCAAGTCATTCACTTCCTGCAATTTTTCATTCCAATTTTTTGAATTGTCCCAATTCCAAAATTATTACACCCAATTTCTAGGGACATGTTTGCTGCTACTGAACTTCAATGCCAGGTTTTGTTTCCATTTTTTTTTTTATCAGGGAGCTAGGTTTGGAGGGAACATCATCTTGGGAGCTAGTTTTGGAGAGCAGGCTTTCCTCTGGTTCCTCCAGCATTTCAACCCGAGATCACAACCTCCTTTTGTCGCTGTAATTTCTTTAATTTAATGCATGTTATAGGCTAGCAGCAACACTAATTCTCAATTCTAGGTTGGAGAAGTTCATCTTCTTTTTGGGCATGAGATGATAAAATCTGAGTTCATTCGTTGTGTGGAGCATTTTACTCTTCATTCGTTTGCTTCATGTATTTGAAAAATGAACGTTTGCTTCATGTACTAACGAGCTAAGTTTGAGCTTAGCTTTGTTCAGCTCGCGAGCTAGCTCGATTCAGTGGCTTGTTGAGTTTAACTCGTGAGTTGGCTCACTTAGAGGTCATGAGATGTCTTAACATTGTGGTTTGAGGGCCAACTTGATCACCGACTTATTGACGAATCGATCTAATTTGGACTTTCATAATTCATAGAATTGTTAAATAATATATCTCACATCATGTGAAGTTTAACATGTTGAACATGTAAGAAAATATGTCTTATTTTTAATTCTATAAAGAAATGATGTACAAAATTGTTTCGATACTATGAAATAACATGATTTGAACTAGTTAAAATTTATTAACTAAACAATATGAAACCTACAAATTATAATATAAGATTAATTAATGTTGAAAATTTGACATTTTTTATCGTTACATCAATCACATGTATCATACACGACATGCAAAATGAATGTATCAAATACAATCTAAGAATTTAGTAAACAAGCCTAGCTCGAACTCGACTCGTTAATAAATGGCTCGAGCTCGAGCTCAGCTCATTTGTTAATGAGTCAAGCTCAAACTGGGGTAAAACTTGGCTCAGCTCGGCTCATTTGCAGCCCTACTTTAAAGTCTATGGGGCCCACGGATTTGTTGCCACATAATGCATGAAACAAACAATGGATTTTCACTAAGTTCGTGATAAATCCAAATTCATAATCAAATCAATCAAGCAAACAAACAAGTGTTTCTACTATTTATATCTAGGGTAAATACAATTTAATATCCAAAACTTTCATTTCAAACAATATAATAGCCAAATCTTTTCAAAAACAATCTAATATCCAAATCGTCAACTTTCCGTTCGTTTGACCGTTAATTGACACTTCAAAAAAGCTTTGTTTAGGGGAAATGATCACAATACAACTTTGTTTTCTTGTTTTGGCATTGCAGATGATTGAATATTTAGATATTCTATACCATCATGGTGGAGTCATAGACTTCTCGGGTTTGGAACTACGATATGTTGGTTGTTTTTCAGAGAAGAAATCGATGGATATTGATGAAGTGTCGTACTTCGAACTTTTTTGAAGTGTCAACTAACGGTCAAACAGACAAAAAGTTGACGATTTGGATATTAGATTGTTTTCGAAAAGGTTTGACTATTATATTGTTTAAAATAAAAGATTTGGATATTAAATTGTATTTACCCTTATATCTATAAACTTTTTATACTATTTTTTTTATTTTTTTTTTTCGAACGCCTAGCCAACACATAAACAGGCTAGGCGCTAGTCAGAAAACCAACGCTCACCTAATACCCAGCGTTTTCTTGAACTTTGGTAAAAACTAGTAATCATAATGGTCGGTCATTGATAAAGGGTTATTATAATTTCACAAATTGAAAAATACTTTCAATATCACCTTGGTTAAACATTTCAAATAATTTAAAGAAGTAGGCCAATAGATGAGACATCAAACTAGTTAGTAAAAAGTCCATTAAACGAGGCCTAGGAACCCACTTACACTTACAACATCATCATTTTCAGCCACTAACTAAAAAAAGAAGGTGACCTTATGGTCGAAATCATAGAACAATCTCAGCCCAAATTCAAATGGGCCGAACCATGGGCCACCAAATTTGCACGTTTGGTTTGGATCATATAAAAGCGCAGTGCCGCAGTCTCTTGGTTTCTTGACCGGTCTGACTTCCCGTCCACCCGAAACCATTCGAGAAATCTTCTGACGTGGAGCCGGTAGGTCCCACGGTCTGAGGAAAGAAATAAATTATCTTTGCCTCATATGCCCCTATACCCTATCTATCTTCCCAATAAAATAATAAACTGCAAATTTCGATTTTCAGTACACATTAATTGTTCGTTGCTTGGCCTTCGCGAAATCTCCTTCTCTCGCTCTGGCTCTCGCTCTGTCTGTTTTTGCGCTTTCGTTTGCCCGCCTTCACAAGTCTCTCTCTGCTGCTAGAAGAACCTCCGTTTTCAGCCTTCATCCGCCATAGCCCCCCTGTTCTTCAGAGTTCAGACTCTCTTGGTTTGCATTCACTTCTTGCTACCGATAGGACCTTCCTACTCTTTCTACATTCCAAAGCTTGCGCTCCCCTTCCTCTCTCTGTAGTGTGTGTATCTTGTTTCTTGCCCGTGGCATTGTGAGCGCATTTGATCGAAATATGCGCTACTTCTCTCGCCTGCAAACTGTTCGACGAAATGCCTGAGCCATGCATTCCGCCGCAACCGTGAAGACGCATCTCTTTTCTCCGCCACCGAGTTGCCTCCTCCCCGCCGCGAGTTCTCGCGCATTTCCAGTCTCAGTCTTTGCAGTCTGTCGGAGTAGAGTACCGGTGGTGTTTGGAGGGAGGGAGCAAGAGAAGACTACTAGTAATGTTCTTTCTCTGCATCGTGCGGCGCCGCTGAAGGAGGAAGGGCCTCTCTCGGGCTTTCTTGACGCTAGGAACAGGAATGTTAGGGATTCTTGCTGGGAATTTGACGATGGGTTTGTGAGGAGGTGTAGCAAAGATTGGGGGAGCGAAGGTGATTCTGCCCTGGAAGCTGAGATTTTGGAGTTTATGAAGAATTCTGAGAGCCCGGAGTTGTTCCCGTCCAAGAAACAGTTGATTGATGCAGGAAGAACCGATCTTGTGGTGCTTGTTGCGAGGCAAGGCGGCTGGATGGCTTCAGGGTGGGATGCCGAAGACTGTGAAAGCGAATCAGAGGTAGTCTTGGACTGGAAGACGGATAGTGAATCAAGGGCTTTGCTTTCGGACGAGAAGAAGGTGGAAAGTGATCCAGAGCTGGGGCGTGAAGCCTCTCCCTTGCGCGATACTTCGCACTCTACTGCTTCTTCGACCGAGATATCACTGTGAGGCTTCTATTTTTGGGTCCTTCGTTTATTTCCATATCCGAATAGCTTTGTCATAAAAGAACACAAGAATGGTAGGTAGAATCTTTCTTGAATTGGGAAAGTTGAAAGTTCTATGAACCACTAATTTTTGGTATATACGTGCCATAGCAACTGTCGCAAGAATTCACTATGGAAGCTGATAAAGGATTAGGAATCAGCTTTCTGGCGTATGGTATAACCAATCCCTGACGTTGTACTTCTTGATCTGTTATGCCGGAAGTGTTTCCACAATTGTGATGCTCTCTAGATTGGCGAATTAAGAACGAAGGAAAAGGGCATCTTTTGATCATGGATTCCATTGCAGAACTGACCTTGCATCTTTAGTTATTCTTTTCATATAAGCTGTTGTATTTCATGTTCTCAGGGTAGCTGCTCACTATGTTTGTTCATTTGCATTCAGAGAAACTGATAATTCAGGAGTGGACGGTATATTGGGTAGATTGGAGGTACAAAGGAATGCAAATTTTGGATTTAAGTTGCCGGAGAGAAGTAAAGTCAATCGTGTCCCCAGTCATCATCCTGCATACGATGAGCCTTCTGCAGCATCCAAAACTTTGGTACATACACTTCACTTGATACTTATTTAATGTCTTACTGATAACGTGTTTCGATCAGCTTAGATCTTGTTCATTCTGTTCTCGTTGTTTCATTACTGATGAAAACCCTATCGTCATACTTTGCCTAACTGATAAATAATAACGAGCTTAAGATTCTCAATTTGGTGAAGTTGAGAAATGGTGCGGAGAAGTGGAGAATTTGGAGTGAGCAGAGAGCAGCTTTTTCAGCTAAGGATTTTGAAGGTGGTGTTTCTTTGTTGCTGATTCAAAGTTTATTCAGTAATTGGTTCAGATATACCAGACTACTAATTGATCCTACAATGTACAGCCTGTGAAAGTGGTGCTAAAGAAACCACAACTGGTGAAGAGGTTGATTCAGGACTTCATGTGCCTCAGATGGATGTGGATGGCTGCAGCGATGATGCTAAGAGAAACAAGAGTGACCCCGCTCAGGAAGGTTTGGAACCCTTAAGCACCCGGCTTCAGCATATGGAATCAAAGCTTTCAGCTATTCTTAATACATTAAAATCAGATTTTGGTGACAATTTGTTCCGCAAGGTAAGTACGATATCATTCTTTGTTTGCTGTATAATTTTGGAGTACTTAGTTCTCAAGGTTGCTAAAAGATTTGCTCCATATAGCAGAGGAGAAATAAAATCTTGTCAATGAAGCACAAGACTCCTTAGAAACATGTTTGATGTATCAATTGTAGTGTAATGAAAATCAGACTTCGATCTCTGAGAGAGTGACATTCAATACATAATGTCTACTTTTAGGATGCATTTTAAATCTCCAACCTTGTCCTCCTGCTATCTAATCTGATCTTTCATTCTCCACCAGGCTAGCGAAAGGCCATCTGATAAGCATCTGAAGCATTATGATGCTTGGGAATTCCAGGAAACTTATATACTGAGTCAGCAGAAAAAGTTGCGGTCAATCCAGGCACAGAAAGCTATCGTGGAAGGCAGAATGGCTCTTGCAATACTGTATGGTCAAGTCTGCTCATCTCTATTCACCCTCTCATCACATGCACCTTCGACTTACATATGGATTTCTTTTCCCCCTTTCCCAGTGATGCACAAAGGTTAGTGGAGCAGAAACAGAAAAAAATCGATGATGCTCAAAAAGGCACCCAGCTTCTTAGGAATGTCTACATTGTTTGGCCTACTGAAGCCTCAGAAGTGTTTCTAGCTGGAACATTTGATAGATGGGCTACTAAGGTGAGATCCTCTCTATCTCAAGGTTCTTCTCTAGACCAGTAGTGATCTTCTTCCAGAATTTCAGTGCATAAACGCTAACTTGTTTTCTGCAGAGAAAGATGGAGAGGTCAAGCACCAATAAATTCTCCTTGTATATCAAATTGTATCCCGGAAAGTACGAGGTAAATCCTTCATTGCAGTCACTCTGTTTGGGTCGTGATGCTGTAGACCCTCTGTGAAACGAGAGAGGATGTTTTACTATTAAGTTTTAACAACTCTTATCTAAACTCAATATGCAATGCAGATCAAGTTCGTGGTAGATGGTAAATGGAAGGCTGATCCCCTGCTCCCCTATGTTCAACATTATGGGTATGTAAATAATCTCCTCATCGTCGATTGAGAAGACACCGGAGACTTAACCGTGGACAGAAAGATACCTCTTGGCTTTAAAAGAAAAGAAGAGATTCATTGATTGATTGCCAGCAGCAGCTGTGATTCTTTTTGGTATCCCAGTTTCCATGTAAATAGTAGAAATTTTACTTTGGCTACATTCTCTAATGATTCTTTTACCATAGTGGGCCAACCATAAGGATGGGGCTAGCCAATGTTGCAGCTTTAATTCAGCTCGTCGTCTTTCCATTGTGTAATCCAGTACAGAATCTTCCGTGGAAATAAATGATTGTTAGATTCTTTTTCTGAAGAATGTGCAGTGCGTTAGATAATCAACTAGGCATTTTTGCAGCTTATAATTGCTAATGCACGGCCTTCACAACGTATGTGAACCCACTTCCACAGTAAACTCTAGAGATGGCGACTGCTTCCTTTTCATTCCGGCTGTCATTACTTCCAATCCTGACCAGGCATGGATCTGTTTCGTCACTCGTGCTCCCTAACCCAAGCTGGCCGTGTTCTCCCCATCCCCACGTCATGACTTCTCCGTCCACTGTAATTAAGACGAGAAAAATGAAACTCGTGAGCGGGCAAAGGAATAGGGAAGTGGAAAGGATGAACAGCTCCGAAGTAAATGAACTAGACTTGGAAGGAAAGTTGCCTCTAAGAAGAGCAGAATGCTCAGATCCTGCTGCAATCTGCCTGACTTTCACTCCATTGGGTATTCGAACTCTCTCCGTGCCAGGGAGATGGTTTGGTGCTGTGTTCATCATTTTCTCTGTGTTGCTAAGCACTCCATGACGGTTTCCCCCAAGCATGAATACTTCACCATCATCTGGTTGACAAAAAGTTATTCATTCACAATGCGGAAATTGGGAAATACACTGAGGCACATCAAAAGGTTCAGGGTGGGCTTATGCTGTTGTAGTACTATACCGGTCAATAACAAAGCATGATTCCAGCCAAGAGCAACTTGACTGAAACTCAGAGATGGAAGTGTACAGCTAGGAACATTGATGTCTGGAGAACCACTAAACCCTCTTCCCCATGTGTACAACTTCCCATCAACTGAATGCAAAACGAATGAAGATCAGATCAGACACTCAGGGAAATCAATGGCAAATTTCAAAACCCTAAAGAAACAAGACAAAGAGGCAGATCATATGCTCACCAGATAATGAAGCACTATGATCACCATTTGCGGTTATGGTAGTGATCTGGATGTCTTCAAACCCAGCAGTAACTCGCGGAAGATTTGCTGATTTGATCTTTTCTACTGAAATGCCCAATTGGCCACGCTTCCCAGAGCCAAAACCATAAACTTGGCTCCCCAAACTGCCTGCACCGCAAAAGACCGTGTACTGATTGGTTAAAAAGAACCACAAAATTGGTGTTCTAAGATGTAAACATCTTTGCAGACAGAATTTCGTACCTACCCTTCAACAAGACGAGCGAATGACGCATCCCACAAGCCATCTGTTCAACATGATTGTTCACGAAGTAGGAGACTTTAGCAGGAGTGCTGTACGCAGAGTAATCCCCATGGCCAAGCTGACCAAATGAGCCATCCCCACAAGTGAAAAGGCACCCTCCATCTGGATTCCATATCAATTTGAGGAAAACCAGCAAATTCCACCATATTTCAGACACTTCCAGCCCAAATCCAGATAGAAAACCGAGAAGCAATGTTCAGAAACGAACACAAAACTTAAGCAATTTTACCAAAAAATGACCTGAAACAAATCCAGAGTGACTCCATCCAGCAGAGACGTGAGTTATAACATGATCCTCCAAGGAATTGACAGCCTTTGGGTACAAGCAATTGACCATCTCCCCATGGCCTAGTTGACCGGATGTGCCTCTTCCCCATGTTAACACTCTTCCCCCTTTGGCAGCAAAGAGACGTTCAGACGAATGATCCCAAAAGATCAAGCTTTCGAAAAAATGGAGCTCGAAAGCTTGCCAGGGAATAAACTATAAAGACGCGAACTTTAAAAGCGGGTAGTAAAGCATACTGACCAGATGTCAACGCAACAACGTGAGCACCGCCGCAGGCGAGCATGGAGATGGAGCCGGCGGCGGAGGCGGCAAGCGACGGAAGATGGAGGAGTTGAGGAAGGAGCTCGTCCTCAAGCTTTCCAGTGCCTAGTTGTCCGTCGGTACCTGCTCCCCAACTCCAGATTTCTTCTTCTTTTAGCGGTTCTTCGCGTCTTGAGCCTTCTTCCATAATCCCCAGTCGCCTTCGGATGAAGAAGGTACTGTGGATTTTGCAGATGGAGGTGCTTTGCTTTACGGCAAGTAGTCTGGACAGTTTAGTTTGAAGCTAAACATCTCGGAAACGGCATCGTATCAGGCGAAGATCTCTTGTGTTGATTTGTCTGCTAGACCGTAGTAGATTATATGAAACTTGCTTTCTTCGTACTACCAGCATTCCAATATACTTCAGTTTAGCGACGTCGTCGGTTGATGATCCAACTACGGCAAAGATAAACAAGGTTGCAACTTGCTACTCAAATTTCAATCTTTTGTAGAGAAACCAGAAACTAGTCTGGATCCTAGAAAATGGTTCAAAGATTCCAGCAATGCCGAGGTCTACGGAGTTGGAAAATCATCCAAAACCAGAAATTTCCATTGAGTGAATTGGTACAACAACACTATAAAAATCCTCGACACGATACAGATTAATAGTAACTTCTGAGCAACATTTTTCTTTTTCTCATTAATTTCTGCAAAGCTGCCTCCTTTCTTCTAACATTCTGAGTTCCCAACAGAAAGGCTAACAAAAACCCGCAAACTACACTTCTAAAGAAGAAGCATTCTCTAAAAGAGATTTCAGGCACAGCCTAATAGTTTAGGGGTTATGCAGGATCAACATGTACAAATTGCTCCGGAGCAGCTTGCTCAGGACTGAACTCCGCCTGTGAGTGTGACAGTTAAGGGTAAAGTGGATGAAGAGGGAATCACGTCGACAGAGAGAGAATAGGAATAATAAGCTCAAATATGCATAAGGCAATGGAAAAGGTTATGGAATTCAATCTGATGTGCTGCAAGCCCACTTGAACCAAAGGCAACCTTTACTTGATGAAGCTCATTATCCATCTATGTAGAAGGCAAAATTTGGTAGTAGATGATCCATAGGAAATGAATGTGCTCTACTAGAATGCAAGAGGGTTCAACTCCTCTGATAAGAATGTTGCTTTAGGATGTCGATTGTATAGTCACTACCAAATTTAATTGGTCCTAAGGCGAGGATCGTATTCCCTCAGGCCTCTAGCAGAACCCTCACTTCGGAAGTGTAGTACAATTCTATTGAAGAAAGGTCAGTTTAGGAGGTTGAGGCTCCTCCAGTTTTATAGAACGTAGGAGTTCGTCAAGTGAAACAGGTGTAGAAAAGTAAATATACGCTACTAGAGAAGTGAGAGAGCAGAGAAGGAAAATATTGCATAGGCAATGTTCCCCCTAGGTCTCCTAACCACGCGTCATTGATGATCGAAGATACGAGCTACCAATTTCTTATTTCATTAGATCTCACATTGTGTCGAAGCATTTGCCCAAACTAATGGACGGTAACCACCCTTCGAATTGCTTCATTGAGTAGTCACGCCGTTTGATCGAATGAGGTTCGATCGAATATGACTACTATTTCTAGAGCAATCATAAACAACTAGGATTTCGATCCTTGCATCTCAAAGGAGTGCAAGTTCGACTAAGCAATCATTCGAATCAACAACTAAAAAAATAGAGGAAATCATGCATTACACATATGAAAATCAAAATATCGTAGTAACCAAATCATCGAGTTTACATGGTTAGAACCCTTAGGGCTTACATGAGGTGCCAATTTCCCTGTAGATTCACCCTCGTAGGTGGCGTAGCTCTAAGTCAGGAGGGTTGCTTTGTAGTAGTGTAACGACCCTTCCTTGACCTCTCGTCTCCTCCTTTCCTGAACTCTAGGTCTAGAGCCCTGTTTATAGATCTTTGATTAGGCTTTCTGAGGAGGAAAACTCGCCCCTTCTGCATTATTTGTCCAATCAGAGCGCTCTAAACACGTGGCCAGCAAATCAGGATGCTTTAGGGTAACTTCCTGACGAAGTGGACAACTCTCCCAAACGACGTTTTTCCTTGACGTCTGGTCATCGAAGCCTTGCTCCAACAACTTGGGCTCAATGTCCCCTATGGATTCCAAGTGACCCATTGAGCTGCTTTGCCCTAAAAATGCACAAAATGCTAGCAAAAGTTCATCAATCGTATACAAGCAATCCTAGGGTTGCTAGAATGCACTTGAAGTAATCACAACAATAGTTAAATGTATTAGGACGATAATGTGGGAAATGTATTCACTTTGGGTCACACTAGGGGGGTCTATAATAGATAATCTCACGTGTCATCTAATAACCCCACACTTGAACTTTGCTTGTCCCCAAGCAAACCTAGCCTCGACATACATCTCCTTACTAGATCTTCATGATGACACGTGATTTTCAATCTTAAGTAGTGGATCATAAGAAACTTACAAGGTCAACCCTTGCACTTACAAATCTCGAGGATAACTAGAGAAGAGAAGGAAAAACAAAAAGGAGGGCTACTTTTTTTAACGGTAGAAAAATTAGTTCGAAGAGAGAAGAAATATTTTGAAATAATGAAATTTTTTTCTTTTGATATTAATTAACGTGTTTTGTCTAATTATGCCTAGAAATCCCCTTACTCTATCATGTTGTCGATGCCTAACTCACCACTAAATTTATGGATGAGGCATTTCACATTTGGCATTGCCTAGTGCCAAAGTGTGCCTAAGCATAAGCACTTGCAGAATCATGCTTTCTGAAACCCTATGGTTTTATATGGCCCTCAATATGTCTCTAAAAGCAAAAGGCATGACCAATTAGGTCGATCACATGCCTCATTAGGTTGACCATGTAGTTCATCAGATTGATGGCGCTTATATTTTCGTAGAAATATGAAAATTAGTTTTGTAGAGTTTTTAGGTCTCTTGATAGATAGCTTGAGCACAGACATTGAGGACTCTTGAAGTGAAAGTATGAACATAATAGTGACGAAATCGGAGAAGCATGAATGTAAAATTAAGATTCAAATTTTGCGTTATAAAAATTAAGAACATACAATAAGGTCACCCATTCATGGCATGGACTATCTATCAAAATGTAACATTAAATTTTAAACTCTAAATCCATTTAATCCTAATTTGAAAACCCTGAAGCAATCAAATCCTTGATTCAAACCCCCTAAATCCCAAACCTTAATACCCAAAATCTTAAACCGTTCAACAACCTATAACATAAAACTCCTAAATCCTAAATCGTAAACACTGAACCCCCTATAATCTAAAACCTAAAATCCAAATTACTTAACCCAAACCTTTAGACTAAACCTGAATCCTAATACCCAAAATCATGAAGCCTAACCCTAAATCCCTAAAATAGGAAAACTAAACTCTAAACCCTAAAGCATACCCAAATATGTTCTAAAACATTTGTTACAAATCACTTGCCAAAAATCTAAAACATGTTGGTATGTTAGATATTGCCCAACCCAATAGATTTGATTGCTTTCACTTCGATAGACCGGTTATCCATAAGTTACACCAAATATGAGGGATATGTATATCATAGAACTAGGCTGCTCTAACGTAGTCCTGTGGATTAATGCATTTCGTTTAGGACAGTGGCGGATCCAGGGGATGGCCACCCCGGGCCCCGGCCCAGCCCTCCTCCGGATCCGGTGTTAGTATAGTCTTTATTAATTTTTCGATTTTAGACATTCGGTCCGGTGTTATTTTATAATAAGATTGGGTATAACTGAAAAATGATCAAATGAACATATTCAAATCACTATTCTAAATTTAGCCTAGAAATTCTATCCCCAAAAGATTATTTGAAAATTTAGTAATTTACTAGAGCAGCTGGTGGATATAGGGATAGATGCATAATGCAAATTGATTAGTCGATTGATTTGTCTTGTGTTGATGCTTCTCGTTTCAACAGCTACTACGGGGAGAGCATTTTCAACAATGAAACATGTGAAAATGATTGCGCAACAAGATAAGCGATGAATTTCTCATCGATTAATATGCCTAGTGTTGACGTTGCTCGTTTCAACAGAATTACGAAGAGAACCTTTTCAACAATGAAACATGTGAAACTTATTTACGCAACAAAATAAGCGATGAATTTCTCGCCGATTGCTCAAGTATTTTACTTGAAACAGTGTATACTATTGGTATAGATGTGGACTCCATTATTGATGCACTCACTAAATTAAAATACCGTCGTGTACAATTGACATTGTAAAAAGAAACTATAGTCATTATATATACGATTCTAATTTTCTAATGAAATGTGGCCCAGTGTTCTGGATCCGCCGCTGGTTTAGGATTAGTTTTTAGTTCCTCTTCGAATGGATGACCCTTTTCTTACACTATTAAGTTTTTAATAGATAAATTTGAAGCTTGATTTCATATTCATGCTTCTTCATTACTGTCATAATTATGTTCATCTTGCTTCTGTAGTATTCAATGTCTCCGACCGGATTATCAATTACACCTTTACAAGGCTCGATACAGTTATAACATACTAAACATTAATAGTTTTAGGGAAAACAAAATGATCAACCTAATCGATATTGTGGTTGATCTGTTAGGTCAAAAGAAGCTACGTACCCAACCATGCGAAGGAGTATCACACCGGGATGAGTTAGGGTGGTTACTTGTTTTTTAGTAATCACGGTGGCAACCTCTTTATATACCGTTTGATTTCCTATTTTCCTTTCTTTTTTAATCTTACGGTCAAGATTCTTTGAGGGTAATTTTGGAAATGAAAAAGTGACCACACCTGATTAATCTATATAATCTACCCAAACCCTAGTTCTACCCTCCCTCCAGCCAAACCCGCCGCCTCCACCACTTCCGTCGCACTAACGACTAATCCCGCCGACCGCCTACACCAGCCCCGACGACGATGACTCTGTGCAAGCGACGACGACTATCGCCGCTGTTGCTGTGCCCTACTCCGACTCTGCCGCCGCCGCCTCCTCCTTTCCCACCCATCTTCCTTCCTCACCCTCCCCTCTGCGTCACCGCCCCCAATCAGATCTGAGTACAGACGACGCCGATGGCCGAACTTCTTCTTATTCTCTTCTTTCTCAACCTTTTCCCCAGTGACTTCCGCTTTCTCTTATTCTATTTATGGCTGTTCTAGTCTCTCAGCGTTTGCGACGGACGCTATGGCCGCAGCTTAAATGAGTTTCCCTCGGATGATAATCAC